TGGGCTTACGTTCTGAGAGGTATGGTTGGTTTGTACGGTCATGGACAAAGCTTTCAGTCAGCCCTCAATATTTTCGAGTGGTAGTGGCACCCAGTCCATGATTTTGGGGCATGGAGATTTGTTTTGGGAGGATAAACTGATGTTAGATCTGATCCCAGACGGAAACTTCAGTCCAGAGCCAATATTTGTATGTATTTCTGTATTTCTGTTTTTTACAAACAGATTCACTGGATCAGAGTGATCTGAGTTGTGCTTGTAAATCACCCGGCTTAGTTGGCAACAGGGGTTAATCCTGTTGTTCTACATGGTTCTGGGGCTTAGTTGGTAACAGGGGTTAATCCTGTTGTTCTACATGGTTCTGGGGCTTAGTTGGTAACAGGGGTTAATCCTGTTGTTCTACATGGTTCTGGGGCTTAGTTGGTAACAGGGGCTAATCCTGTTGTTCTACATGGTTCTGGGTCTTAGTTGGTAACAGGGGCTAATCCTGTTGTTCTACATGGTTCTGGGTCTTAGTTGGTAACAGGGGTTAATCCTGTTGTTCTACATGGTTCTGAGGGGTTCTTGTTTTTGTTTGCCACTGGTGGCTGGAAGTGCAGCCAGAAGACGTCACCAAGTCAAAGTAACTATTTAAACATTCTTCCTGCCTGATCCCAGCTGTGAAAACACTGGCCAAAAGGATTAGGGAGATTGTGTGTGTGTGTGTGTGTGTGTGTTGTTTATGTGTGTGTGTGTGTATGTCTGTATAATCAGGCTATTATTTGAGAGCTACAAAGTATCAGTTCAGAGGGGATTTGAATCAGAGACAGATTCAAGAACAATCTGAAGTAATATCTATCAGAGTCAATTGCTTCACAATAAATTCTCATCAACCCTCCATCTCAATTTCTGAAAATTAGTTTAACGTTATAAAAAAATTAAGGTATTTTTGGGGGATTTTGATAACAGGACAATCCCAAAGTGAAAGAAAATATGTATGTATACCATGTTAACTAGCGATGAAGTTCTACATTATATTGTGTTTGTCTATTTTCACAGAGTCAAATCCATCCCGAATTGTGGAAATCAGCAGATTGCAATACTTACTTCAGTGCACCGGAACCCAAGTATTGTCATACCACAGTATAACCAGGTCTTTAGTCTTGAGTCTTTCCGTCCGGAAGCAAACACTAAAGATATTTTGAGAGTTTTGCGTGAACACAATGAGCATAGACAGTTTCCCAAGTGCTATTCCTCTGCCCCTAGAGACATAACATAATTATATAGGACTGTGTCTTAATTCTGAGCAAGTTGATCAAGGAAATCCTTGCCAAAATGTCTAACTTTCTATCTAAATAAACGTGTAAATCCTCTCCTGTTCCGCACTCTGGCTAAACCGTCCCATTACTCTCTGGTGTTAGTCAGGATGTGTCCCAATTGGCCGCCTCTGTCTTCGGGTAGTGCACTGATTTCTACCAGCGTCCAGAGCTGTAGACTATAGCAGTCCATTTCTCAGTTTTCTTTGATGCCCTCCAACAGTTTGGTATTATCTACTGCCAGCCTTGTTCCCATCGAATAAAGAGATTGCGATGGAGGGGGACTTTATAAATGGAAAACTGTAAGGCATTATGTCCTAGTTAGTGAGTCCTCTGCAGCACAGCAGTTCAAGACCGGTACTACACACATATATACACACACACACACACACACACACACACATACACACATACACACACACACACACACACACACACACACACACACACACACACACACACACACACACATACACATACACATAGGAACTATGGAGTCCTACAGTGACCACTAGAGGAACTATGGAGTCCTACCCGGAGGGGACGGAAGCAGAAGGAGAGAGGGATGAAGAGATGGACAGGAAATTGTGGAGAGAGAAATCAAAACAACATCCTTAGATAAAACAGGCAGATTATTTTTTAACAGTAGCCCCCTGCGTCCTGAGCATGAGCATTGCTAACTCCCATCTGGCATACGAAGTAACACACTCCTTCTAAACACAGCGTTTAAGGATTTGTGTAATGAATGGGGTACCTTTCAGGTCATAGCTTTAACAGGACCCGTTTCTCCCTCCCCTCTGGCTCAGCCCTTCCTGTCAAACCAGCTGTTAGGTAATGGATGGGAACCCTCTGGGAATTCTGAGAGTGGTGTTAAATAAAGGCATGGTTGTTTTGTAGATTTAGACAGTTAGGTCTGAATCTGATGGCTGGCTGTTGGGTCACGTAACGTTGTAGACCCGTTTTGTTTGCAGCACGGCTGTGAGCGTTTGTTATTTTAATAACTTTGATCAGATCACACGGTTGGATGAGGGGTGGCGATTGAGAGGGGGTGTGTGTGTGTGTGTGTGTGTGTGTGTGTGTGTGTGTGTGTGTGTGTGAGATAAGTATAATGAGGGAGAAAGAGTGACTGAGAGAACGGGAGAAGATGACATGTTCTATAAACGTGTGAAGGAGAGCGAGGGAGCATTGTATTGTCGTTGGTTCCTGAACAATTCAAACGGCATCTACTGTCCCTTTTAACCGTATTCTGTAATTAAGAGCAGATGAGCTGGGAGAGTGAAAAAGGAAGAGGAGAGCTGGCAATGTCCTATAAGAAACAGTAGAATCCAAGTGGCTCTTAGTGGGAGACGTAGAAGAGAGAGGAGCATGCCGCTAAAATGGTAACAGATCTTTGTGTCCAGGGGATTCACACTAATTGCCCTTCTCTGTGCTCTCTCCGATGAGATCTCCTAGTCTGTTTCAGGACAGACCCGGTATGGATGCAGAGAGAGCAGTTTGGTGGGTTGGAAGGATATAGTTGCTGTTACCTCACTCCTAGATAAACCCTGTCTCAAAGATAGGCCCCAGACTCTGGGATGTGGAGAAACCCGGATGTTTCTCAATACCTTCTGAGTTTCCTGTGGCAGAGAATCGTATTTTAGCGCCGTGGAAATCTAACGACAGACGAGATTCTCTCTTTTTTCTCTGTTCAATGCTAGATTTTTTTACTACTTTAAAAGTTGTTTTTTAAATTAAGGCCCTTTTGTGACAGCTATCAGTGACCTCTTTGCTGGCTGAAGTCCTAGAAGCCCTGAGTAAACCGCTATGTCCAGCCGAGGTGTACCGTATGATAGACAGGAAACACACACACACACAAACCTAACGACCTGACACTTGGCTGAACCCTCCCCCCTCGCTGTGTTTGGAAAGTTGGCGGTATGGCAAGCAGATGACGATGTAGGAATGGCTTCCCACCACTCTCTTGCAAACCATAAACACCAGGCCGGGCTTGCCCAACTAGCCGCTCTCCGACTAGATTTCAGAAGTAAATGCCATTGAGAGAAATGCAAAGTCGTATGACGTTAGACAAGTTGACGTTTTTTATTTTTGTGACAGTGTGTACGTGTCGCCAAGGACAATTATAGGAATGGTACGTAGGGAATTGATGTCTGGTTCTCGCCGCATTTCTTTGCTTTGATGTGTTCTTATCTCTCTTTCTCGTCTCCTGGTTTGTTTGCGGAGAGATAGCATCTTTGAGATCGTTCGAGTAGTCGGGCTAGGCTTGAATATTTTCGTGTGTTCGGTAACTCATTTTGTGTAGTAATTTCTGTGGTGATTCGGTCGTTCATGCAGCTCTCTGGCTCGCTCCCCCGATTGTTTTTCGTTTGATGCCTAATGCACCCTGGATTAGCTGAAAACAGAACCGCTGTGTGTCGGTGGTTTGAGGGACTAAAACAACCACAGAACTCTGGGGTGAACTAGGACAGCTGCCTCTGAATTCCCCGCTGGTTAGAGCAGTGGGTTGGGCCTTTTCAAAATGCCAGGACATGATAGCAGCTAAAGATACAGGCAGTTCTACGGTTATATCAACCATATTGTCGTCGGGACTTCTCGTCGCGTGGCATCCCACTCAATCGCTAATCTGTTCTCGTTGTTAACGTGTTGGATTCAGGAGAATTGGTCAGGAGTTAAGACCTGAGCGATTTTGAAATGGGATACATTCTCATATTATGTTATTATAGCCAGACGACAGGGTCAGAGCATCTCTAATATGACCAGGCTTGTGGGGTGCTTCCACTCAGCTGTGGTGAGTACTTACCAACTATGGTCAGAGGGACTGGTCCCAAGGTTCATTGATGGGCTAGGGCTGCCAAGCTATCACGTCTGGTCCAAAACAACAGAAGGCACAGGTCACAGCGCAGGTCACAGCGCATTTAATAATGCTTACATGAGGAATGTGTCACAACACAAAGTGCATTGCAACCTTCCGCATGGTGCTTAGTAGCCCGGCCACGAGGACCCACAAGGACCCCCGTCCGCCTTTAAAAATGTCTGCGAGCCTCAGAACTGGACCTTTGAGCAGTGAAATAAGGTCGCCCGGTCCAATGAGTCCCGTTGTCTTTTACATCACACGGACTGCTTTTCTGTTTGTAAGTTGTTTCTTCACGTGCCCTTTCACAGTACATTTTAAAAGCCAGCCTGGTCTCATTATGGACAACAACTGTTTGGGCCATTGTTGTTGACAATGCTGGTCCAGGCTTCTACATGGGCAGAGAGGCAGTGCCATTGAATATATTGTTTTCAGTCGAAACAACAATTATTAGCCATTACTACCGCATAGATTCTGCAGTGAAGCAAAATGGCACGTGTGTGCAGAACTGGACAACAGTATTGTTCAGATATAAGCAGATTATTATAACTGACACTAATTTCGGCTTTTGTTTTCGTTGTTTTGAAGGAAAACTGTCCACTTGTAACATGGTAAAATAAGCCTTCCGATGTCAGTCGTTATCGGACATGGACGACAATTATCATGGCCATTAACCACCAATCAGTCTGCAGCACTGCTGACCCCTCCCCCCTGTGTAGACTCCACTGAGTGCAGATTACTAATAATCACTCAGTTTCCGCTGCAGGTGCATTTGTGTCTGTGTTGCTTGGTTGTACAGACTATAGGCCAGGTTGATAAGAACATGCATTTGGGAAAGCCGAAGAGCTAGTAGCTTTTTATTTTAAAATAGGGATTTGAACCCAGGATGTCATACACACAGAGCCTGCACTCTACCACTGAGCTACTAACTTCTCCCAGTGTCTCTCGACCAGTCAGCAAGCCGAAGAGCTAAGAGCTAGTCAGCGCTTTCAATGGATATTGTTTTTTGTGTTTGAGGTGCAATTGGAGGGACATTGGGTGTTTGTGTGTGATAGCGAGAGAGAGAGGGCCCAGGAAAACAGGGGGGTGACGGCGTAGGAAGTCACTCAGACGATATTTAAATCAAACTGCTAACGCCCTGCAAGGCTTTCCAGAGCACAGCCTCTTAAACCAAAATGCTCTATTAACTAAGTACGGGTGTGTTGACTGTTCCAAGAGGAAAAACGGGAAAATGCAAACACATGGACACACATATTTAACTAATAACATTTCTAGTCATATCTTTAGACTTGATTGAGACCAAAGTTACAAAAAACCACAACAAATAACAGATACACTACAATTATTCAAAACATCCCAATACTCAGCATTGAGCTCATTCAGAAATCTCAGAAAAGCCCCTATAAACTATAGTTTAGCTAACTATAGAGTATTCTGAAGGCTGTTGCAGAAAGTGAAGTGTGACGAAACGTAAAGCTGCTTCTCGTCATAACGCTGTAGCGTAATAGACACATTTTCTCGATCTTTTACAATCCCAACACACCCTTGCTAACACGCATATTTCCAATAAAGTTTGCCCGTCTGACCTACACGCGTGACAAGCAGGCCTTCGGCGGTCGCACCATACAAAGTGAGTGTTTCCACCAATAAAGCCTTTATAGCAATCAGGTCCAGATAGGAAACAGTTCGTCACCCACTCACTTTGTCCCAGGCCCGGCCGTACACAGCGCCCAGAGTGTAGGCGCCCTGGTCATCAGTTGCAGGCCACATGGGCACTAGAATGCCATTTGGCCACGAGTGGAGTGGGTAAAGTGTGGATAATTTCCGGCTTCCTGAACAAGGCCTTTCCGTTATTCCGTGCGTGTTCTATATCGGGCGACACCGTGCGCTCCTTTTAACAGCACTTTAAAACAAACGTCAAAGGCCGTCCGGCAGCTGTTCAATATAATTCACGAATGACGTAGCATTCCCGGTGTTCCTCACTCCTTTTGCTTAGGGCACCAAGGAACCAGGTCACGGGTAGGCCTCTGCATAGGGCGTAGGGTGTCATTTGGAATGGAAGTGTGTGTAATTGGTGTCGCTTCACCCTCGCCAAGACGGCTTGCAAATGGGGAAGTAATGAAGATTTGGGGGTTGCTATAGCTTCTTTTACGGTTTGCCGAGTGGCCCAACAAGTATTTGCTTTGTCTGCAGAGTATTTACAGACCCGGCCCTACCAAGTAACCGCTCAACTGAAGTTTGCCTACAGAGAGACCCTTTCAGCAGCCGCAGAACTGTTCTGGAGGGTGAACGGAACAGGATGGGGTGGAGGGTCACTGTTTGCCTGGGAGCGTCAAGACCAGTGGTCGATCGTAAATAGTTCAGTGACAACTCAAGAATCACGGGCTAAGTTTGGCAATGTAGTCCAGTGGAAAACACACGACGGAAACGCTGTCCTTTAGAAGCAGCGTCTGCTACTGCGTGGAGCCAGTTGTCTTGGGAACAATATTGGAGCGCGTGTTGTCTTTCAGTGTGTTATCTATGTATACTCAGGTGGTGAGGGAGAACTGTGCCTTTATCAGACAGAGACACTTATAGACAGACAGACAGAGACACGTATAGACAGACAGAGACACTTATAGACAGACAGAGACACTTATAGACAGACAGAGACACTTATAGACAGACAGAGAGACTTATAGACAGACAGACAGAGACACTTATAGACAGGCAGAGAGACTTATAGACAGACAGAGACACTTATAGATAGGCAGAGAGACTTATAGACAGACAGAGACACTTATAGACAGACAGAAACACTTATAGACAGACTGACAGAGAGACTTATAGACAGACAGAGACACTTATAGACAGACAGAGACACTTATAGACAGACAGAGACACTTATAGACAGACAGAGACACTTATAGACAGACAGATACACTTATAGACAGACAGAGACACTTATAGACAGACAGAGACACTTATAGACAGACAGAGACACTTATAGACAGACAGAGACACTTATAGACAGACAGAGACACTTATAGACAGACAGAGACACTTATAGACAGACAGAGACACTTATAGACAGACAGAGACACTTATAGACAGACAGAGACACTTATAGACAGACAGAGACACTTATAGACAGACAGAGACACTTATAGACAGACAGAGACACTTATAGACAGACAGAGACACTTATAGACAGACAGAGACACTTATAGACAGACAGAAACACTTATAGACAGACTGACAGAGAGACTTATAGACAGACAGAGACACTTATAGACAGACAGAGACACTTATAGACAAACAGAGAGACTTATAGACAGACAGACAGAAACACTTATAGACAGACAGAGAGACTTATAGACAGACAGACAGACAGAGACACTTATAGACAGACAGAGACACTTATAGACAGACAGAGACACTTATAGACAGACAGAGACACTTATAGACAGACAGAGACACTTATAGACAGACAGAGACACTTATAGACAGACAGAGACACTTATAGACAGACAGAGACACTTATAGACAGACAGACAGACAGAGACACTTATAGACAGACAGAGACACTTATAGACAGACAGAGACACTTATAGACAGACAGAGACACTTATAGACAGACAGAGACACTTATAGACAGACAGAGAGACTTATAGACAGACAGAGACACTTATAGACAGACAGAGACACTTATAGACAGACAGAGACACTTATAGACAGACAGAGACACTTATAGACAGACAGAGACACTTACAGACAGACAGAGACACTTATAGACAGACAGAGACACTTATAGACAGACAGAGACACTTATAGACAGACAGAGAGAGACACTCATCATGGTGCCTATAGATCTTTGATTAGAGCACAGTGGGGGAGGTGCAATGCATTAACCACCATGTGTGTGTCTGTGAATTCACAACGGTCATTTGGAAGACCATAAAACATCTGATAACAACAGATATTTAGGCGGTCCTTATTTATAAAAAGGCTAGCCAGTGTTCAATTCATATTATGCTTTCGCTGCACGTTCACGGTGAGCGTCTGTGTTTGGACTCCCCCATAGATAGCTATCATATCCTGCCTACTGCTTCCATAGATACACTTTAAATAGGCCTATATTTATCACAACTCCAAGGAATATCTTTGAGTACCGGAGCCGATGGAGTGTAAAATCTGTTGCACACGGTCTGACGGTTAGCCGTAATAGCTACCCGCACCTCTGCCGTTCTGACGGATCGGTGGAATGAGGAAGCTGAATCTCGGCTACACCTTGTGTGCAAACAAACACATGACCTTTTATAGCTCTTATGTTCCAGATGCGTCACCATCTGTCAGACCGGTGAGTGTTTGACGCGTGTGCGTTGTGTGTTCGTATGATAATATCAGATGGACAGCGGGCCATTTCAAGTGGTGATTATCAGACCCTCCCAGTCTCCTGACTTTCCACTAGACCACAGCTGTGTAACGTTCCAAAGTGCGCAAAGGGTTCTCCGAGTCGCAGACGCTTTCCGGACACCTGAAGGTGGACCTTTTTTAAATGGGAGGAATCGGCCACAGCTGGCAGAGAGATGTTTCGCTCACTTCATTACCAGTGACTAGGTACAGCTGGTGCAGGACAGCTGGTGTAGGAGATATGAGCGTGCTGCTGGTCTTATGCCGTGTTGGTTACAGGTTTACGATAAGTTCGGTTTAGGGGATATGTTTTTGGTTAAGGTTAAGTTAAGGTGTTGGGTGTTGGGAAAATATGGTTTTGTATAAATAATATAATTATATATTATAATTATATTATAATATAATTATTATAAATAATAATTGATATCTTTACAAAATGAGAAAACATAGTGTGTGTGTGTGTGTGTGTGTGTGTGTGTGCATCCTTGTGTCAGTGGTTAAATAGAGGGCCATACACAGAGAGAACACCAGCATTTTAAATAAAATCCCAGATGGCCAGCCTACAGAAAGTGTCTGTCCCCTCGAGCAAATCAATTAACCTCTTGTTACGGGCGTCTGCAAAATGACTAAAATGTGAACGAGGGAGCGATATCAAGTTAAACTCTGAAGTCAGGTCAGCTCTCGTAACAACCCGCATTGGCTTGGCACTGGGCACTGGGCCACATTTGGACCGCCAGCAGGGTCTTACCAGAATTTATCAGTTTGCTAGCGAGCACAGTCAGGTCATAGGGGTGTAGTACAGTTTGGTAACAGGCAGCACTAGTCTATAAACGACCTGTGTATGTGTGCGCTGTTCTCTAGCTATTTAACACATGCGTGCACACTATCTCTTTCTCTTGCTGTCTCTCCTCTGTGTTGAGGTCGATCGCTTGTAATCGAACGGTTCAAATGATCTCCTCAGCACACACACTTTTATTCACACACACACACACACACACACACACACACACACACACACACACACACACACACACACACACACACACACACACACACACACACACACACACACACACTTTTATTCACACACACACACACACACACTTTTATTCACACACACACACACACACACACACTTTTATTCACACACACACACACACACTTCTATTCACACACACACACACACACACACACTTTTATTCACACACACACACACACACACACACTTTTATTCACACACACACACACACTTTTATTCACACACACACACACACACACACACACACACACACACACACACACACACACACACTCTACGTTCCTGTCTGATTTGCTCTTTCCTATGCTCGCTAAAACTAGGCCTCTGGTAGAACACTTGAAGTTCTCAAATAGGAATGGGAATCTGGGCACGCCAAACCCTAACCCAAACCACTTGCTCTGTAGCTGAAAGAAACTTCCCAAGAGCCTTGGCTTCTGTGTAACACTCGGCAAACTTGGGGATCCCCCAGAGATCTGGGGTGAAAAGGGGAGAGGAAAAA